CGAGCTTCGAACTTCTCCTAAGAAAATTGCGTTCAAATTGATTAACTTATTACAGGTAGCTCACCTCCACTCTCTTCACCTCTCTCCTCAACCACCTCCACCGCCTCCTTCCAGCCCTTCACTGCTCCCGCTCCCTCCACACGTCTTGCGAAGGTCGGCCAATACATTATGAATTGCATGGCCCCATGCACCCATGCGAGCACAATGACAATCATGCCACAAATAAGCGCCACTTTGTCTCTAAAAAACATTCATTTATTCTCATATTCACTCATTTTCTAGAAAACTTACAGTATGCCGGGGACGGCACAGCCTGCCCATATCCTCACTGCCTCGATGTCGGCGCTGCTCAACATATTTGCTAAAAAATTATTGCATTGAGGACAGCACTAAAATTCATTACAATCACAAGTACTATGAGCCACAACGGTTCTACGAAAAACACCACATGGAGAAAAAATTTTATTACAAAAATGGACCATAAGATACAAGTTATATGTTAATATTTGTACACTATATACATTAACAAATGTCCCATGTTAGGGAGGCTTCAAGAACTTTTTGACGGCTGCATGGGCCCCATTCATTATCCGCTTTGTCTTCGCCCACTGCGCGCATGCGAAGATGCTCAAAAGTACGGCTGCCAACAGTCCGGCTATTATTGCCAAGGCCATGCCAATGAAAAAACTGCAACGGTTTTTGTGATAAAAGGTTGTGAGAAATTGGACTGGTCACACTTACTTGGCAAATGGCCCTCTCTGATACTCCTCGCCACATTCCAATACTTGATTCATCAGGCAGGGCGTTACCATTCTTGGGGCATGAGTGCTATTGCAATACCCTTTCATTACTGTAAGCGAGACATTTTAAATGCTGTCAAGTAAGGCATGTGAGGAGAAGAAAGTAATGAGGATTAATTAAGAGCATCAAGTGTAGAAAAGCTTGTAATCCTTTTCTTTTATATGGTGCAGCTTCAGACACGCCCCATTTTGACCCCTCATATCGATTACTACTGCAAAAGCTAGCAAACTCATAATACAAGCTCAGCTTTCGCTACAGTAAGTCGAGCCGGCTGGCGCCGCCCATAATTGACCCCGCACTCACATGAGACGTCTACTCGCCAGAAAAGAGCAAGACAATGATAACACAGCTCAAATAATGGCACGCATAACGAGAATTACATAATTTGAAATGTTTTTCTTCAATTCTATCAAAACAAATGGTTCCAGTGATGACTGCATCAATTGGAATGAAAAAAAATATTATTGGACGAGGAACTTGTCATTTTTCCTTTTTTTTCTACTTACAGCCACGAACAGTGAATATTTGGTAAATTCCTTCATCAGTCAAACTATTGTGGTTAACATAATTCGTATAGAGTGTGTGCAGTAAATTATTCTTCAATTTCCGACATGAATGTCAAGGATTGGAACCTAGAGAACGCATCTGCAAAAAAAAGATGTTAATTTTCTCGTTAGCGGCACGAGGAATGCATAAATTACATTTTTGGCCTTTTCTCAGTTTTTCGGCCCCCAGTTTCACTCTGCCGGGCCTTAATCACCGTACACAGACCGTGTAGACCGAAACATGAAAATGGGAGTTCTGTGAACCACCCTGATTACTAAATAAAGTTCATTTTAGATTTTCCGTCTTCAAGGCTATCCGATGTTATTCTAGTCCATAAAACTATGGCAACTTACCTTTCCCCTCTATATAATTTGCAGCGGCTCCCTAATTTTGATTTCATCGAACATATAAAATGTGAAAATGTTTAGGAACAGAATTTTTCTCAATTATTTTGATTTCTTTCCATTTATTTTATTTTTATTTCCTATCTTTTCAAATTTTCTATTTTATCTTATTTTTTCCTTTTGCTCAATTCATTGTTTTCAACAACGCGTAACAATGACAATTTATTAATTACAGTTTATTAATGACAATTTGGCAATGACAATTTGTTGATTACTTGAACAAACAGATTACAAACAAAAAATATTTTTTTCCATTTTCCGGAACCCGTCCGACGCGCCGAGCAGCTGCACTCGATCCA